AAAAAAGGTGTGGTCTAGCACCTGCTGCCATTGATTTTCTGGTCGATGGACGATTATGGACATTTGTCTAAATTCGCGAATTCCTGTAGCTTGGATTCCAAAATCCTGGCAATATCACCTTCATCGGAGTCTTCGGGTAACTTCACGTGCACAGACCCATGTTTTAATGGCTGGACATGTTCACGAGCCGAGGATTGCTGCTTAATGTAGTTATAAAGTTGTTGGTGAAAAGGATGGTCCAAGGAAAAGCAATTGTCTGCTCGACAGTCTGAATGTTTGGAAGACCCAGATGACCTCTTACGGCAAAAATGGGGAAGTGAGGCATAGTCCATTATCTGTAATTAAAAGCATTCGGGGAAAAAATGTGAGAGGGTGTTTTGACAGTTAAACAGGTGTTTTGTTTTATTCAGGTAAATGTAAAACCAAAATTAAGATAAATTATGTGAAATCTGAATCAAAATAGATGGTACTTGAATGCTTAAAAATGAAGAACTTTTGAGACTCCTAAAATTTTCATACCATGGAAACATGAATCGAAATTTTGAAGAGAATCGATTCGTTAAATGTAAAGCAGGATAGAGGAAAGTACCTTCAATAGTTCATCCTGCCCACAACCAGACAACACATTAATTTTCCTTTTAGTCCTCTCTTGCAGAAGTGGCTTAACAACCTGAGAACAGCTGAAAGATTATGAATACGTATCTCATGAGGATATGGGGAAATAATACATTAATTTCATGAAAATATACATATCCTTAGCAGTGACATTCCGAACTTCGAGCTTTGAGTGGGGAGAAAACCAAAGAAAAGAAAAGGGATTAATATAAATCATACTTAATGGGCATAAACGTGGGACAAACCTTCCAACAAGCCGAAAAGACATATGGGGCATTTACAATGTAATAAGTTACTGATTTCTCTGGATAGTTTAGATCATCAATAGAAGAAATGGTAGTCATTAGCTGCATTAGAAGAAAACCGTATAAGAACGAGCCGTAGTAGATTTTATATTCAACCCTTGGAAAGATAACCTGTGAGTAAGTGAACTAATTGCTCACTACTAACTCACCTTAATCTGGCTTAGTGCTGAGAGCTTCAATCCTGTCATATCAAGAATCTTTATGCATCTGGTAACAGGTTTCCCGTACTTTTTTGTTGCAGCTGGCTGATATAATCGTCACATATTAACCCGTGAAGTAAATAAAAGGAGTAGACAGAAAAAAAGGCTGGTCATGCTTACCAGGATCACACGATCTCTATATTCATTGATCTGAATGTGGGACTGTACATAATAGTGAACCTAAATCAAAAAATAAATGCAATAGCACGATTTGTTAAGATGACTTAGCAAGACAGCTTCTGAAAACACATTGCCCTTACGATACGAAATAGCCAAAAAGATATAAACTCAATCTAGCATAGAAACGATACAATCTGTCATTTTAAACTGGTTATTGCCGATAAATATAGATACTTCAATCACATGAGAAGAATAATTTTGAACAGTGAGATTGATTTTAGTTTTACAGCCGGAAAAAATATATAGTGGTGTATTAAACAGCCTTGGCGAATTATCAAATTGATCACTTTTGGTTAGCTGATGTCAATGGCATTTTGGATGCAATAGATACCAAACTCCTCATTCCAAAACCTCAATTGCACTAAGTTTGCAGGTCTTCAAAATTTCCAATTTTACCCTCATGCAGTATATAAGTTGATTCATGCAACAAGACCAATAAATTTCACTGTTTGACAATTTCTTCAGGATACTGCCCTGAAAACCAGCTTTTTTTCCCTTAAAAAAAGGAGCTGCAATCTTTTAGCAGACAAAATTAAAGTGTGAACTATTGAGATGGCATCTGTAGATAATTTTCCAACTTGTAGCTGAGATAGTAAATAGAACCATCAATACTTCCATGGAATAAAATAGCAAAATTTAGTCGACTAAACATTCACAAAAGTGCCAACTACCAAGTTACTTTAACTTATTTACGCTTTTGATATTAAAATGTCTTCTATGCCACGATGCACATACGACATCCATAACTTAAGTCAGAACTCAAGATGAAATGCAATATATTGAACTACATTATGAACATTACTTACGGATGCTCGGTCAAATGAGCTCAAACCCACTCCAACAGCAAATACAGGGAAGCCCTATTGCAAAAGTGGTGTCATTTGTTAGTAACAATGAATATCATATCAGAGGAAAAACCGAATACCTAGTAAAAAAGATCGAATTTGTTCCTGCTTCGTTAATCCTTACCTCATTTGTGTAACCGGACAGCCCTATAAGCTGTGAGTCACGTATTCCTCTGTAAAGATCTTCAGGAACAATAGGTTTCTGTCCAAAAAAAAAAAGTAACACTATATTCAGATTGCGCCACCACAAACATAGTGTATGGAAGCTTGTTATTAAAAAATACTCGACATTTTTCTTTTTTCCGGCAATTATATTTATACAGATCTAATTGTATAAGCATCAGCATTTTACTACTTACTGCTAACATACTATCGATGTCGTTTTCCACCCTCCAGTTCAAACAATCAACTAACTGCAAGATCACATTACCATTAGAATTCTGAATTCAGCTGATCTTCGGTTTTTGCATACTAAAAAGGATAATGATATAGGAAAAGAAATTGAATCACCATCTTGTGGGCCTTGGTGACATTTCCTTCCCTTGCCTTCAAGAACCGTATCAACGTTTCATGAGGATAACCTTGATGGACATTCTGTAACATTGTTTGAAACAATAAGGTAAACGACACAAATCAGTACATTGTTTGGAACTAAAAATAGCTCATCTTCTACCCACAAGAAAGTCAATACTTTTTGAGATATTGCAGAGGTTTAGTTACAAGGTGGTCTGAAGTCAGATCACAGTCTTAACATAGTTTATCATATGAATAACAGATTGATCCCCTAATTTCTCAACCACAAAAATATTCTTGATTTCTCATCAAACCCTTTAACCAAAGTAGCAGGTGAAACTAAAATAACTAACTGACATATTATAACGAAAATTCGGTCGGTTCGGTTCGGTTTTAACCGAATGAGCAGCCCTAAATTATTACTTGCTAAGAAATATATGAGGGAAATAAGAGCTCATAAACAGATCAAGCAGGAGAACAATTAGATCCAGTAATAAGAAACAAAACAAAAAATAAACTCAGAACAAACCTGGAAAGTTTTCTTGAGTGGCTCATCAACTGCAACAAAAATTGCACAATAATTTGGTCAAGAAAACAAAACAGAGATCGGTAAAGAAAAAAACTAGTAATGGGCCCACAAAAAGGAAAAGAGATAACAGCTTTAGCTAACCTTCCTCCATTAGTGCTTCAAATTGACCTATGGCTTCTTGTGGAACCACAGCCATTTTTTTCTCTCTCTTCTTCTTTGCAGTATTTATCAGCAAGACCCAAATGAAAAGAACCCCAACTGCAGCAAATTAAGCAGCTTTCACTAGCATATTATCCAGTAAATCACTCTGCACTGTTGTTCCATGTAGAGAGAGAAGTAAACAACAGCAAGCAAGAGAGAGAAAGCAAGTAAAGATCACACCTTTTTCACATGATCAAAAGAGAAATCTTTAAGGGGGTGTCAAGATATACAAAAAAAAGTGTTCCTTTTATCCTTCTTATCACCCCCCTAATGGGTTTTCTTCTTTAGATTTAGAAGAAGAAAAAAGGAGAGAGAGAGAGAGAGAGAGAGAGAGAGAGATAAAAAAAAGCACCTTTACAGTATAATCATAGAACTTAGATTTTAAACACAGTTGAATAATCAAATGCAGACAAAAAATGCCAGTTGCTGCAAGGAAATGGGCATGGAGGAATGCTCAAGTGTCAGATGTGGAAGCTTAAAGTAGATCATTAACAATTCATTGGAAAATGCTAAGGTCTCGTTACAACCATTCCGTCGAGGATCCATCGATATCTGTAAGATAATTGATTTAACGATTATAAACTAAGACAGAATGATTCTGTAACAGGACGTAACATCTTTCCTATTTATTGTACCTCGTTTTGTGAGGGTGTGAAAATTAGAAGATAAATAAAAAAAAGGGAAATTTGCCCAAAAAAAAAAAAAACTAGCCCTTTTTTTTCTAGCTTTTATAAATGCCAAGTAAACACAGGCGTTCTTTTGTCTTTTATGTCGGTAGTAAATAAATAATAAATTAGTAGAATTTTGTAAATACATGTTTATAATAATAAAAATGAATAATGATATTTATTCAAATTTAAATAAAAAGGATGATACCTCTTTTTAACTTTCTAAGTTTCAACGCTGGTATCTGAAATAATAACAAATAGGAAAGAATAAATTTTAAAAAAATGAAAATATTTAAAAGGTGTGTGTGTGTGAGAGAGAGAGAGAGAGAATGACATCCCACCAATTTGGGTAACAAAGTCAATATGAGCATAAGAGATCTATAAAATTGAATCATGACTCGCAATTCAAGATAAATGACCAAATAAAAACTCGACCTTTGATATGGTCCATTGAAAATAAATGAGTCAATACTCATGAATACATCTACATGGAAAGAATTGTATAAAGTCAAGCTTGTTCTATTCTAAACATAATTTTGGAATGCGAAACTTTGACAAATTAGACATGCTAATGATTAAGTGTTTTATCCAATACCAATTAATTAAATAGATTGTGAACTATCTAGAACGAAAATGAATGTAAACTTTAAAAAAATTTCCCTAGTGAACAAAATATAATACTTGTTTGGATGTTAGTAGAGTGAACACCATGTTAAAGTTTGATCAATCAAATTCGATAAGTAGTTTCTTTAGTAAATAACTTACTAAATTATCTTTTTAAACGAAAAAAATATTAATTTTGAAAAAGTTCAATAGAAGAGTAGTTATGGAGATAATTCATAAAATAGCATAACATGAGATTTCCAAAACAACTATACAAATCACTTTTCACTAGACTTGTCAAAACGGGTCTGGACCCACGGGCTGCCCCGCCTCGCCCCACCTAATAGACAGGTTAGGTTGCAGTTATAAAGGCTCATCGAAGAGTGGGCCTAAACAGGCTGGCCCGCGGGGGCTGCGGGCCAGCCCGCCAATTTGAAAAATATATATTTGTACTTATTGAATAATTAAGAGGTAGCGTTTTTTTTTTTTTTCCTTGAATATAGGAGTTAACTTACGTAGTTACCAGAAATCCCCTTCCCAATTCCAATCCCCAATTAATACCATAAATCTCTGCACCATAAATTCAACTTTCAACTAGTTTTACCCCGTACATTTGCACGAAAAGCAATGTAATAGAAAAGAAAGTACTTAACATACTAAAGCAAAAATCATATCTTAATCGATGAGAAAAAAATGATTTAAGATAGTGAATTATTATAATTTAAAACACTTCTATATACAACATTCGTGGTTTTTTTATCGTCAAAATCCCCATCACCACAAATCATTATTTTTTAACCCCTCCGACTCGTGACTCTAGGCAGAGCCACGTACAACTACCCATGATTGAATACAAGGATTTTCAGTAGTAAGCTGACGTGCTATAGAGATTAACCATGACTTTTATTATTTGTCATACCATATCAAACCATACTATGAAACTATCTACGCTAAAACTTGAAGTGTAGTCTCAAATTAGATAGTGTTGTCTTATAATTTATAACAAGTAGAAAGGTAAAACTCATCATGACATTCTGGTGAGTCATGGCATAGGAGTCTCAGAGGCCACGTGTCACATAAAAGAGAAACTTCTCTCCATGCACAGTGATAAGTGATTGCACGTCTTATGGGTGGTGAGACGTACGTCTACATTGCAGTTGGGCGGTGAACCTCTTTCACACTGAGATATGAGATCGGCATGGAGGAAGCTTCTCTTATCTTGGTCGGTTTATAGAACGGCAGTTCAACTTCATAGGGGGGTGATAATGTGATTTTGGATTGATCGGATCAAGGTCAAGTTAGGTCGGTTATGATATTTTGCGGTATTGATGAAGAGGTAAATTCCTTGTTCAGTATTCAGAAAGAGGGGTAACAACTTCACACTTAGAATAAGACTTTTGACAAATGAAAAACAAGGAGGAGGCAAACTTCAAGGCAGTGAGGTAGAGCTTATAGAGGTTGATCGAGGAAGGGGATGCAAATGTATGTTGTTGCTTGAAGTCTACATCCATGGTTAGGTTGCTAAACTCCAAAGTTGAATGAAATGTATGTTGTTGCTTGAAGTCTACCTCCATGGTTAGGTTGCTAAATTCCAAAGTTGATCCTCCTCTAGTGGTTGTAGCTATTGTTTATGATACTTATGTTCTTATGAGATTGTTTAATTCTTGTGTCTTTGTTGTGGATAAATGTGCTTGTTTTGATCCTAGCTTGCTAGCCACAAAAAAGCTTTGAAGAGGGAATAATGCGTAATTCCCTCGCGTATCATGTTTCTTAGTCATTATGGGTTAAGAGTTAAGACTAATGGTCTGTAACCATTTGGTTGCTCGAACTATTTTATATTTGATTTTTTGAATTTTATGATTCTTTT